TGAAAAAGGATAATAAAAATGTAATGTAAATAGAGATTAGAAACAAAATGAATAGGGCCTGCTAATTACTGATAAGGAGACAAAAAGAACACTGAGAAATTGTGAATGTGCGGCTTGAAATTTCACACACAAACAATAGAACCTTAAGGGCTTCAATCAATCTAAAAGAGATTCTTTAATGTTAATAAATGCATAAATGTTGAATTAAAAGAAGGGAAGCAATTCTTGTTTTAAGAAATAAAAGATTTTATCAGAGGAGGAAGGCAGGGGATTTATTTTCCCACAGATTTTTTTCCCTACTGCTTGAACTTTAACTAAGTATGATAATTTGTTTTCTCTTCTTTCCTTTTTATTTCCTTCTCTTTCTTTTTCATTAGTCATTTTAAAAACTTGCTAACAGCTTTTATAAAGAAATATTTTTAGGTATTGTAGTCCTAATTGGCCAGTCTTTTTAACAAACACATTTACTTTTAATAAATCTGGAAAATTAAAAGTGGGGGGCAGTGAAGTCTGTCATGAATATTACCAAATAGAATCCATAATTAGTTTCTTTCACAAAATAACTGATATGATAGGTTAAGAGAAATTAATAACTTCAGTGCGTTATTGGGGGGGGGGGCCTTGAGCCAACTTCTTGGGAGTTTATGCCACTGAAAAGTCAGTTTGCAAGAGCACCCTCACTTCTAACACCAAATGCAAGTCTGAGGATTCCCAAAGCCATGCCTCTAATAAATAATTTGCTAGAAGTACTCACAGAACTCATGGAAAGCTATTACATTTACAGTTAGAGTTGATTACAAGGAAAGGATTTAAATCAGCCAAGGGATGAAGGGGATAGGGCAGAGGAAGTATCAAACCCAGAGCTTCCCTTGTTCTCTCTCCATGGAACCAGAACATGTTATTTTCCTGGCACTGATATCTGACAGTACACACAGAGTGCTGCCAGTCAGGGAAGCTTACCTCAGTCTCAGCATTCAGAGCTTTCATTGGGGCTCTACTATGAAGTATGATTGTTTGATTACCCACATGGCTGATTTTAGTCTCCAGGTTGACTGACTCAAAGTCCCCATCCTAAATCACCTGCCATTCTGATGACCAAAAAATTAAATAATAGATATAAAAGTTAAATGTTACAATTGCACTACAAATAAAATTTAATATTAGTCTTTTTCTATAGACTTTCTTTTAAAATAATCAAATTCTACCAAAAAAAGGCACCATGGCATAATATAATTCAATCATATCTTGAAATACAGAAATTATTTTAAACTGATTATTTATAGTAACATAACAGTTTTGCAATAAAATATTAAATTTAAATATTAACAAACAAAAATATTAATAAAATGCATCACAACATGAGGACACAAAATTTAAAAAGCTACTTTTATATCTAGTACAATATCTTTAAGGCTCCACAGCTCCTCCCAAAAATCCAACAGTGTTGTTGTATAGGACATAACAACTTCAGCATCTATCACGTCTTCTCTTCCATGTTTATCAAGAAGCTACTTTTGGCTATATATTCTCTATTTATTTGCACTGTGTGGAAACTGTTAATTTTTAGGAATGAGAAGGTTAATATTATGTGCCTGAGAAGAGGTAACATAGAAAACATGGGAGAAATTTCAATTTAAAACTTTAGCTGGGAAGAATAATAGCAGAACACGTTGTTTTGAACACATGACTAAAAAAGAACTAAAAATGTTATAACTGCAAGTTTCAAATCATGCATAAAGGTTCCCCTCCTCCCCAGTCCCAGTTAATAGCACTCTATTAGAGCTAGCAACTTTGCATTATTATTCATTCCTTTAACCGGCATAGAAATCTAATCGATGCTACAGGTTATAAAACCTTGCAATAGAATCGCTAAATGGAGAAGTGCCCTAGGATGATCTATAAATAAATGCAGGGTGGAGTAGTAGAGAGTACATGCATGTCTGCTTGGGTAAAGAAATGTAAAAGAAATATCTGTGGAATGGAATGAAAGATAGTCAGTGGGCTGGTAGTGCTATCATTGCACCTTTAGATTATGTGGTGTCTGACATAGCATACTGAAAGGAGATGGTTTTAGTGGTAGGGATTTCTGAAGTCTTTAACCACTTATTGGCCCCAGTCTTGAAAACAACAGCAATCAAGAAAGCCACCGTTCAATGTATAAAAATGACAGCGTACATCTGGAACTCAGCTCTATATTTTGAATTGTGAGCCAAACAACGCAAAGACCAGGAGGTTTGCCCATTAATAGCAATTCCACGGAAACTTAAGGCTGCCCTGGGTTCTGCTGCTTCTATGACTATGGTTTCCTCTGTTCCTTCAATTTTCTGACAGACTGGCACAACCTTACAACAGATCTGGGCAGCGTTCTCACTTTTGCTTAGGTAAGCTAGAAATGGTTTCTCATGTTTGAAATTTCAGAGGCCCTGACTGCAATAGGTTCTGCATCTGAGAATTATAGACAGCCATGGTGCTGACCTCTTTGGTCAAGGACCTATCAAGCTGACCAATGCAACTTTTTCATGTACTTAATGAGAACTTTAGTTCTGTAAAAGATCCAAAAGGTTTATGAAGACTTGGTTTCTGCCTCCAGTAAGCTTTAAATATAGCCAGGGAGACAGAAATTGCACATGGAAAATGGTTACGGAACTATGAATAACTAAATTACTAAGAAAAAAATCCAATTTTATGTGCCATAGCAGTTCTGGAAAAGGTGAGAACAAAACAGAACTTCAGAGACTTTCTGGAAGAAGAGTGGGATTGAGTATAGACTATTATCTAAATAAATAGCCCCCGTCATAAGTAAATGAATTTCAATGAATAAAAATATCAGCATATACACCTTAAACAAGGGTAATAAAATCCCACAACTAATGGCTTTGGAGGGGAATAATAAAGTAGAAAAGAGTAAGGGTCTCCATTGGCAAAATGCACATTGGTAATTCAGTGAGCAGTATTCAGAGTTGCTAAAAACATTCCGCATAAATAATCCTACCTCTGCTCATCATCAGACACACCTTGTCCAAAGGGCTCTGACCAGTCTTCAGAAAACGGATGAGCCCAAGGATAATACGGAAAGGTTACAGACAGATCCACAGGAATAGAAAAGTAGAAAAAAGGACCTACAAGAGAAGAGTGACAGTGATGGGCTTGTTAAATAAGGAAGAAGAGAGTTACAGGAGACATAACAATGGCTTAGAAAGGCAGCACTTCAAACATTTTACAAGTGGAAGAATTGCCATTAATGCAAAATACCAAGTAAGAAATAATGACAATTGAAAATAAGTAATGTTTATTTACGCCATTATGTCTTGGTTTTTGAAAGTAAGTGAAGCTCCTTAATTTGCCAAAAGTTTTTTTGTTTGTTTATTTGTTTGTTTGTTTGTTTAAAGGCTCCCTTCAGATATATTTTTCTAAAATGACAGGGATTTTATGTATAGAGCAATTGAGGGATAGGATCCTTTCCAGAGCATCAATCTACAAAGGTGAAAAACAGGACAGAAAATCTAGGGAGACTGAGAACATTTTACATAAAATTTCCTCTCAAGTTGAATACTGTACATAGTTGAGAAGACATACATTGATAAGTAGGATGACTATATAATTATCACACAACCTGTGACTCTTTTGAGAATTATAGGGGTATTATCAATAACTGTGTTAGGACAAGGCACAAGCTACATAGCCATAAAATCAACTCATTGATAAGCCTTTCAGGGAAGGCAGAGGAGTGAGATCTCCAAAAAGCATTCCCCCAAGAGTAACATAATTAGGACAAGTATTTTTTCAGTTTAGTGTTATGTAAGTCTGGGGTCAGAGCTGGATTGCCCAGGGCGATGCCAGAGAGGAAAGGTACCTGCTCTTGTAGCCAGACCCCTCCCCTACCTTCCTGCAGCCTGCCCTGTCAAAATATGTTGAACACATATTTCAAGATTATTGTTTTGAAGGGGCTCCTGAAATTATTGATCTGAATTTAAGAGATCTTAGAAAAGCAGGACACTGTTTTCTTTAAAATTTCCATTTGCATAACTAAGCCTTCCTTCTCACAATGATTTCTCCTTGAAACCCCTCCCCAACTTTGTCCTCCTTGATATTTTATCATAAGTATTATGGCCTCATTTCATTATGGCTCCTAAATTCTGAAATTGAAGAAAGCCCCTTATATGTTCACAGCTATACAAAGCAAGGCAGAGTCTCCTGGTGTCTGTGTTACATTAATAAAAAAAAAATTGGATACTTATCTGATTCAAATACAGTGAACTGGTATGCATGTGTGTGTTGTGGGGGTGGGTTGCTGGATCATCCAGTGTGATTACATTTAGCTGCTGATACAAGGTAATTTCCAAACCACTACTGGAGTTGTTCTTCCTAGATTTAGCCAGGGACAATGAGATTGTGGAAACGTGTAATTTGCCTCCATAGACAGAGGCCCCAATGGTCGATTTGACAGCAAAAGAAACCTCAGAGGAGGAGGTTTAAACTTTGGCTACAAAGCAGGGAAGCGATCACCTTGCGGTAAGGAGATCAACATGTGATGAGACTTGCTTTTCTCATCCCTCTCCTGTGAGGAGGGAAGCAAATGAGTAATAATGGGAGGGCGCCTGATGATTATTGGGGTGGCAGTCACCTGAGTGGTAAGCAAACAAACGTGCTCCGAGTCAGAAGAAAGCGCATGGCAAAAAGACCTCTTGTGCCAGGAAAGCCTTCGATTTCACTCGCTAATAGCTCTGTAGAAAATCCAAGGCAGGAATGGTAGAGGTCGGGTTGCTGGCTTGTGCTCTCCCTCGGTGACAGCTCTGGGCAATTTTACCATCCAGCTGTTCTGTTTTTCAAAACTAAAGTAATTGGAATTGAACTACAGAGCTTTGCTAAAACCCTGGCAATTAACAGTGCGATTTCCCAAATTGCACTGTAATGGGAAAGTGTCCATCAATCAACCCAGTGAAATAACACATTTTCTCACCAGATGTGAGATTTAATATCTTCATAACTCTCTGGATTTACCACTTATAAATTGTCAGCCTTGCCTCGAGCACTGAGAATTAATGGACTACATCCCTGCTATGTAGGGATGGTTTACAGTTGTAAAATATCTTCACCTTCATTTTAGATATATTTACCAAAATGTTTTTCTTTAAGATGTAATCAGAAAACATGCTAGATGGAAAAATTTCATTTCTATTTACTATGTTATATTATCATTGTCTAGATAAATACAATTCCCAGAGTCTCAGCACGGCACATTCTTGTAACAGGAATAACCAGTTTATCACTGGCAGGGAACAATAAATTGCAGTGCGAAGATGTAATGGCTTTAAGCTTTAAACTTTAGGATAACCTCTGTGCTTTTCTGGACAAAGACTGAAAATATCCTAAGTTTCTTAATCTGTATCTATATACAGGTTCTGCTATTCATATTGGAATGAAAAGATTATTCAAAGAATCCCACATATATTCATTTTGTCACTATGATTATCAGGTATGTCAGTTCTCTTCTTAGTTTTCACTCCAATCTCAAACATCTCACCCACGGCCAGGACGAAGTTGTCTCTTGAAAGCAGCCCAGGCATGTTACTGTAATGCTAGAACCTTAAACAACTCAGGTTTGGAAACTTATTCTTGCTTACACTCACAGAGGGGAAATGTTGCAGTGAAAGTCACTCCACAGACCTCGCATAGATTTAACTCATTTAACCAAAATTTTCTCCCCCTACTGTGTTCTAAGGCCTGTGTAGTAATTTGTTCAGAGTATTAAAGGGGTAAAGAAGAGGAGCCAGGAGAGGCTGCAGGAGGTTTGGGCATGGGATTTGGGCTTTAGGGAAGGTTCCCCAGAGGAGACTGCCTCTGAGGTTGTCTTCACACACAAGGGAAATATGTTGTCAGACAATGAGGATGCCCAAATGATTAGAGTTGGTTATTTCAGGGGAAAAAAGTCAGAGAACATCCATATTATTTAAGATCAACTATTTCATTTCCTAATTTAATAGATTCATAAAATATTAAACAAAAACTGTCAATCACACTATGGTATCAGCAGATACAGCTCACTTGGCATATATCTTATACTAAATAGTCTGTCATTTATTTTCAACTAATATCATTTCATTCTCTTTGCCCATATTAGTGGGCTTTGGAACACTTTTTGGGGGGGCAGGGCAAAAAGAGAACATTAGAGGATGAAGAGATCACCTTGTCTGAATAATAAAGAAATTTGATATATCTGTATGATTTATTATAACAGAGATTAAACTCACAAAGCAATAATTACATATTAAGAAAAAGTTCAAGGCCCATAAAACCATACTGATACAATACAATTGAGATTGGTGAAATCAATTCAAATGATTATATGAATTTCTAACAATAGAGAAATAAATTACTATTTAATAAATTGTGTTGGGCCAATGTGATATCAGTATGGAAAAAGTTACCTTAGAGTCATTTCTCATACCACACTGTATTGAATTTCAGATGAGTCCAAGTTAAACATTTTATTGAAAACTACAGGAAAAAGAACAGTTCCTCTCTAGCTGTGGAGAAGAGACAAATTCTTGATATTGAAAAAATGGAGTATATTAGTTTCTGATCAGAGGCAAGATGGATGAGCACAGATATGTAAAACTAAAACATCTGAACTATGACATGTAAAAGAAGAAAGCAACATAATGAGGCCATGCAATAAATATATCTGATTAAAACATACTGTCATACACAGGTACATATATATGAATACATACACACATATTTTTGTTTCCTGTTCCTGTGACTTCATGCTTTTCTGGCCTAGATGTCTTAGTTTCTGAGATACAAATGCTTCCTTGGGCTCTTCATGCTTTTGAATCAACAGACAAAAAAGGAGAGAGTTGACAGGGAGGATTGATACTGACTACCAAAGGGAAATTGAACTAGTACTCTACAACAGAGGTGAGAAAGAGTTATGTCTGGAATACAGGACATCCTATAGAGCATCTCTTAGTACTATCATGCCCTGTGATTCAAGTCAATGGAAAACGATAAGAATCTCATCCAGGAAGGACTGGTAATGGTTCAGACCCTTTAGAAATGAAGGTTTGGGTCAGCCCACCAGAATGCAATACAGAATGGGCATTAGAGGAAGGTAGTTATAAATACAAGCTACAACCACTTGACCAGTTACAGAAACAAAGAATGTAATTGTCATGAGTATTCCCCCTAATTTTGCTATGAATACATTTGTGTGATATGATATATATATATATATATCTTTGTTTTCTTTCATCTCCTATTCCTTTATCATGTAACATGATTGATTGACTTTATATCATACTATTTAAGTATTGTTAATTTTATACCATAGTCTTTTAGTTACAGAATATCAAGGAGAAGAGTAAATATCACCCAAGGACTTACCTCCTTTTGTATGCAGGACAGTTGTATTATGTTAGGCCGAATTATGACCTTGTTATCATCATTTTTTGGAGGTTAAGGAGATGTGTAGGGGTGGCAAGTTGGCAAAGGGTGGACTTAGGATAAAAAATTTTATGTGTCAATTTGACATGCCAGTCAAATTTCCCAGATTAAACATTATTTCTGGGTGTGTCTGTGAGGGTGTTTCCAGATAAGATTAGCATTTGAGGCGGTGGACTCCATGAAGTAGACTGTCCTCCCCAACATGAATGGCATCATTTAATCCATCGAGAGCCTTAATAGAACAAAAGGTAGGAGGAGGATTTCACCTCTTTTTGCTTCCTGCCTGGCTGCTTGCAATGTACATCTCATATCATTGGCCTTGGGCCTGACACCATCAGTTCCCATGCTTCTTGGGCCTTTGGACTGGTACTGAATCACACCACTGGCTTTTCTGAGTCTCCAGCTTGCAGCAAGCAGATCATGGGACTTCTCAGCCTCCATAATCGCATGACCCAATTTCTCATAAGGAATCTCCTTTTATATATATCCTACTGGTTCCGTTTCTCTGGAGAATTTCTGACTAATACACACACTCTGACATGACAATTAAAATTAAAAAAAAAAAGATAAGTCCTAGCTCAATGTGGGACTTTGGGGAAGCAGAATATATACCTCAAGATCACCAACTGGAGGACTGCCCAAGGGCTGGATCAGTGTCAGTAGCATGTATATGTGCGTGTGTGTGTGTGTATGTGTGTGTATGTATACACACACACACACATCCCACACAGTATTCAAAAACATTTTAAATGTCTTGCCAAAGCCTAAAAGTTGTGAGATTTCATATAAAACCTAGATTTCTAAAGTCTCCATAAAACTGGAAAGTTCTATACCCACACTGAGCCTTCATTTTCACAAAGCAACAGCCATGCAGCACTGGGTAGAAGCTCCTACCCCCTTTACATGGTACCTGTGCCCTCCAGGTTGCTGCTGCCCTCACCACCTTCTGCTGTCGAACACTGGCCAGTTATGCTCATTTACTTTACCAATTTAGAAAACTAGGAAAAGCTCACTTATTCAGAATTTGAGTTTGGGATCTATGATTTTTACATTGCTAAAGTCATTAAAAAGTTGTTTGCTCTTTCTAAAAAGCAATGTGCCAATATTTAACAAGAGTTAAAAAGCAATTAATATTCTTTGATATAATAATTCAACTTTGGGGATTTTATTTCAAAGAAAACAAACATGTTCCCCTCCACAACCGCACTACAAAAACCCCAACAAATATTTGCTCATAGTAGCAAACAGCAGAGAAATTTTAAACACCCAACAGTATATGAACACCTAGTAACCTAAGACCTACCAACAGGAGAAATTTCCATGTAGCTATAACAACTTAAAGTAGGTTAGGTGCCTAGCTTAATGAGAATATACAAAAATGGTAAATGAGAAAAGTTATCGTATAAAGTAATGCCAACTACTTAAAAATCTATGGTTTTATACTGGTAGTTGAGAAGTAAATGTGGAGTGATGGTGATTGAGTTCAATATATATGAAATATCTTTCACATAAAGGTGTTTACAGTTATAATGAAAATCTCTAAAAGGAGATACCTGTGTGCAGGTGCTTATGTTCTTTTTGGGGATTGACTCATATAATTTTAAAAGGTGCTTTTGACTCCTTGTTTCTTGAAGACACCTATTTCAGAGTCCACACAGTCCTTTTTTTAGTTCTTTCACTGTTTCCACACACTGAGGATAAAGAATTTCTTCCCTGCATCACATCAAAATCTCTTTTGAATGTGTTGAAAATGCATTTTCTCAATGTCTTTAAAATTTGAAAGAATGGAGCAACTGATCTACATTCATTAAAAGATATTACTTATTTTTGAAGCCAGTAGTCAAATTCTAATATTCCATGTCCTTAAAAGTCAGTGAGCAGGCTACATGGTTATAGGCTTTGGAACAAGATACACCTGGGTTTAAATTTTTCCTCCAAATCCGAGCTACTTAACTTTCCTGATTTTCAGCCAACCTGTCTGTTAACAAAGAGGATAATGATTTTTGTCTCATTAGCGATGTTGGAAATGAAATGAGCTAATAGGTGTGACTTCCTTAGTTTAGCATCCGGCCCATAACAAGTTATTATAGCAGTCACAATTATTTTTATTAAATCATTCAAGCTCCAACCTTGCTTTCTTATGAACATTCTGACATAAGTTTTAGTTTTCTGTCTGTAAAATTATTTTTCTCTTCTAAGGGCCCTCTTTAGCTTTTCTTCCTCCTCCTTTCAAAATGTGACTCTTTTTTTTCCCCGCTACGTGGTGGCAAAAGTTCTGCAGTATTAGCTTCCAACACAGTGTTGGCATTTCTAAAAAGTGAGGTAAAGACTCTATAACAACAGTTGTTATGATGAAAGTATGAAAGACTTTACTATAACTTTCAGTAATCTGTCGTATGGAAACCATAAACTCTTTTACTGACTCTAAAGTCTGACTCTAAAGACTGCCAAGAGAAAATCTAGATACTGGAAGCTATGTTACAATAAGAGTTCTCAGTAGGGAAACTTTATCATCACATTAACAAATCAACTGATAATTGAGCACACATACACTCCATACCTTCTGAGTCTTTTGAAAGAATATGAGTAGCTAGGAAATATAACGGGGATATAAAGATATAAATGTGGAATTGTCAATTAAATTCTATTTATTCATTTACCATCATCATTCAAAGGCTTGTTTTTAATGAATTGAGAGCCTAATATTTTCTCTAATGTTTTAATAAGTAATATATATTGCTTTGCATCTGATCTTAAAAATCATTTAATGCATCATCTTTTTTAATAAGAAAAATTAAATGATTGTTGAGACTTCAATTGATATTAACTTAAAGTGTCTAGAATATAGTTGTGATATCTCATATCAGTAATAAGAATAAGGAGACCAAAGGGTCTTTGGAGGTAAATATGCTTCTTACATCTAAATGGAAGTATCACAGAAATTTTCTTTAAAATTGAAAGACACGTCCACTTAAAATTTAAAATTATAATGATAATCATAAAAACAAAAGGGGGGCATTCTGGTTCTTT